TCCCCGGTACATTTTCTGAGCCATTTTTACATGGTGGCTTAGAAAACTCAATGCGCGAAAGTTAGGCCACCATGTTAAAATGACCTAAAAACACACCAGGTGAACATCAGATCATTTCTGAGTTGTGAAAGTTGGGCCACCAAGCCAGATAGCTTATAAAGTTTGCCTGGGTAAGTTCTTCCATCATTCTAGACGTCCTAGGAAAAAATGGTAACGATACGATTTTTTACAAGTAATTCCGGCGGTTCATAGCAATTTTTGTCCACAATCTGTCGATAAATTTGTCGGTAAATTGTCGACAAACAGCATTTTTATCGACAAATTTATCGACAAATTGTCGATAAATGTTGTTTTTATCGACAATTTGTCGGTAATTTTCCGATAAATTTACCGGTAAATTTTTCGATAAATTTGTCGAAAAGGGCGTTTGTCGACAAATCATTTGACGATAAGGCACACTGATTATAACGTGAGTTTCTTGCAATCCCCGCTTTTGAAAATGAAACCAAAAAATCTATATAACAAGTAGTGATTTTCAAAAGTTTTAATTTTGGGAAAAATATTCCGAAAGTGTTAATATTTCTGTTATATTTGTTGAAAAAACACGTTGCTCCCAAAAACTTAACGGTCCATCTTTTGGGAGATTCAAAAGATTCACGTGGCTCACAAAAAATTTTGAAATTTCAGTACTTTGATGTGAAAATTAAAACTTTTGAAATTCACTACTTGTTATATGTCCAATCTATGTCCTAAAATTTAATTGGATTTGAAAAATTTTAATTTTTCATGTATCGTAAAAATTTCCAATTTTAAATACCGACTGAGCTACGCGGCAGCAACCGTTGCTGGAGATCGATTCTTTGTATTAATGGGGTACGGTAGCCATGTCAAAAGTACACCGTCACGCAAAAATGCACTCTCCTGTGTTCGCACTAAAAACTCGAAATTTCACTGTTTCAAGAAAAATTGAAGTTTCAAATAAGTTGGAAGTTTTAGTTAACTTTGCATCTCAAGTTCTGATCAACACAATATAAAAACCTTGAAATTTGACCTGAAATTCGCTGTTAAATTCGGTTTGACCCTATTATTTCGTTGAAAAAAAAACTTTTTTCCTTCTTTGAAGGTCATAAATTTTGCATTTTTCTACTGATTTCTTTCTATATTACACTTTCCTTGACGATACATAGTTTACTACTACTACTACTACTCATATGGTTTCCCTCTCTCTTATCATATAATCAACAAGACACAGACGATTATCATATTAGGCGGGAAGCAGGCGTTTTTTTTCTTGAAGGTCAACATACCGTCTCAACAATGCCCCCTTGATTTCCCTGTCAGGTGGTTAAAGGGGGCGGAGATTAGGAAAAAGAAGTGACCAGCACTTTTTTTCTGAAATTAGTTTTATTCATTTGGCCGGGAGGAGAAGAAGTGAAAGTCGATCTAATTGATGCAACAAATTTATCTTCTAGCCACGGTGAGTTATTCGGGATTTTACATTTTGCTAGGGGTTTGGGGGAATTTCAGAAATGGGAAAAGTAGCTCTTTAGGAAATGAGAAAACAGTAAAAAATTACTGTTTCAAAAATCGATCACTTATTTTACAGAAGCCTAATATTCATTGGGCCAACCGTTGAAGCTTCTGAAACTTTGAGTCTCTCAAAATTGTGAATTCTGAAACTAAATGAGATCCTAAGATTAAGAAGTTCCAAAAGCTAATTCTTATCAGGGTCTCAGAATTTCAGAATCTCAGAATCTCAGAAAATTTTTTGGAAAAATTCAAAAATTACAGATTCAAAAAACGGTTATTTATTTTATACAAATTTAATATTCACTGGGTAAGCCAATTTTGAACTTCTGAAACTCTAATATTCGTGAATTCTAAAACGATAAGATCCTATATGAAGTTCCGAAAACCAAATTTATCACATTTCGGAAAATGAGATCCTGAAACTCTGAATATCAATTTCCTAACCCAAAAAGATGAGTTCGTAAATCTTTTCAAAAATATAAAAGCCAGAATTTACGGGTATCGAGATTTTCGGTTCAAACCAAGAATTTTCGATCACGAATATAATCAATTTCTATTTTTTACCTGAAACAGGAAAATTTTTTTTTTATTGATCTCAGAATCTCAGAATCTCAGAATCTCAGAATTTTTGATTCAGAATCGAAGAATCTTGGAATCTCAGAACCTCAGAGTTTTATTTCCCTCGATTTATGACCATCCTACCCCTAACAACCCCCCTATTCCATCAAAGACCACGTCATCACTTCAATCAAAAAGTGACCAGTCGAGTGTTTCAATTTCAACAAACCCTTTTCTCTATGTTTCCTATTTTTCCACGGTCTATCAACTACTACTATTCCCTTATAGACATCTAGAAAACTCGATTTGATTTTTCTCGAGAAATGGGTCCCTCTCTCTCTCTTCCTCAAATGATGAATGATACCTGATATAGAGACGAGAAGAAGAAGAAGCATTCAATCACACTCTTCTTCTTCTTTTTCTCTTCAGAGGAACGGAGACGTGTTTTTGATATTAGTATCATATCAAAGTAGACCCCACCCTTTTCATCAGTTTCGAAAAAAAGCGGCGCCGGTCCACCCCTTGGTACTAATTTGACCATTCACACCTCTATTATTACTTTTATTTTTTTGAGATTTTATTTATTTTTTGATTCCTGACCCGAAAACACAATGTTATGGTTACAGGTAATATTTTCACGGTTTCAAAATTTTAGAAATTTTAGGGGATGGGTATTTTAACAGTTTTGGATTTTTTACTGATAAAATATTCTTTTAATATGAAAAATATTTTATCAGTTGACCTTTTTTGATATCTTCTACAAGAAATTAAATATTTTAGCTCAAAGTTACCCTTTACGTTCACTTTGAGCTTAATTCCACGTATAGGTTTGGCTTCTATTAGAGCAAATACGGTATAATAATTTTCACTGTTTCAAATTTTTTGAAAATTTTTGAAATATTTCTTGAAATTTCACTATCAATGATGAATTAGAATCAAATTTTGAATTTTAATTTATAAGAAAGTAGTCTTTTTCTCGATTAAAAAAGGCACTATTTCAAAAATTCCCGAATTTTTTGAAAGTTGTGTTCAATTTTAGTCAGCTGTCAAACCCAAGTTTCAAGTCATTTTTTTTAGAATTCACTTTTTTCACTGTTTCAAAGTGTTTGAAATATCAAAGTTTGTAAAAAACAACATTCCACCAGTCGTATCACTTCAAACCTTTTTAACCGTTTCAAAATATCATTAATAATGAAATCATCGCTGGCTAAATTTTTCAAATATTACACCATTTTTTGATATCTTTCACATGAATGGAGATAAATTGGCTTAAAGTCGACGATATGATTTCAAGATTTTTAAATTTTTCGTGTTTCAGTGCCAAATTTAAAGAAAAATTTTAAAAGAACAATAATTTCTTTTTACTAAACTCTAGAATATTCATTTTGCAGGTTGGTGCTCTCGCAGCACTAGCAGTCGTTGTTCATGCTCAAACCACGCCCCTTTTCCCGGTGGCCTGTGAGCTAAACGTTCTGATCGTCCTCGATAGATCAGACTCTGTGAAGGGTGGATTCAACAAGAGTCGAAAATTTGTGACAGATGTCTCTGAAGAACTTCAAATTGGACCAGAAAAGCATCGAGTGGCAATGATTGTCTATTCGGGATTGAGTTATCGACGAGAAGTGTTGCCATGGAATTTTGCGAAGTCCAATGAGGAATTCGTACAAAAAACTAATGCATTGAGAGCCATCGGAGGTACTACCAACACTAAAAAGGTGAATCTTTTCTCTAAACTTCACTATCACTATGTATCGTATCAACTTTACACAACCTATTCGCTATATCAGTCTTGGTATTCTCAAATCAAAACAAGTCAGAACTTTGATTAATATGTTTTCGTGTTTTTGACCAGGAATTTTTTACACCATTTGAATCTAACAAAACAAAAATAGACTAAACTTTTTATCACATTGTTTACTTTTTTCAGGCACTTGAAGTCGCATTGGAGTTAATGGCCCAAAGGAATGTGTCCATTCCGACACTTGTTATGGTTGTCACCGATGGAAGATCGGCTGACGATCCGAAGGGACCAGGGAAACTTCTTCAGGCTCAGCCCAATACCTGGGTCTTCGCGGCGGCAACGGGAGATCCGGAGAAAGTTGATACGTAAGAGAAAGGGAGAAATGGGAGCAAAGAGAGTACCGGCAAAAATTTTGTAAAAGAGAAGTCTAAAAATGAAACATTAAAATTTTGAAAACTACATCATCCAAACTGCTAACTTTCTCGGTTCCTGTAAATCATATCAAGAAGTGGTCAACTGATAAAATGTTTGTCATATCATGATTAGCAATTTGCTCAAAGTTAAGGCGCCCTTCTATTACAGGTTTTATGGTAGACCTGATTAACCAAAATGTGGAAGAGTTTTCGAATTTTTTGAAAATCGCTCAGTTGAAGTTTTTTGAAATCTAGGTGACAGGTTTTGGATGCATTCATTTGTTTAAACAGAAGAAATCATATTTTGACTGGTTCAATAAAAATAGTCAACTTTGGATTTTTGAAAATTTAACTGTTAAATACCAAAAAGAACTAGGCCTGTAGTTTTTCATCATCCTTATAATTAAAGGAGGCGAGACAGCAAAAATTTCGGGGGACAGTTCGCGCCGCGCTTATGTAGACCATCGGTCGTCAGGAGCCTTCGCGCCCCCGTAGCTCAGCCGGTAGCGGCGATGTACCCCTGAGCTGCCTGTCATGAGTTCAACCCCTCATGGGGGTTCTCTATGCAAAATATCAGGAAAACTTTTTTTTTGGTGTCTGGCCTCCTTTAAGAAAGTGCCAAGATTAGCACGGAACTGAGAGTTATGTCATTTGTAAATTGCTTATCTCGCTTTACAAAATTTCTGCAAAAAAGTTATCAATTACAAAAATGAAGCTTTATTTTTGTTTAGTATTTTCTGAAATTTTCAGACAAATTGAAATACTCTAGACCACTTTTGTGGGGCTTCGAAGTTCCCTAAAAAGGCAAAAGGATTACTTTCGGCCGGGTTTGTATTTTTCATCTTTGAATTGTCACGCAAAGCCTTGAGCAACCGAAGAAATGAACAATGAAAAACTCAGTGACCATCGTAAAAAAAATGAATCTCATTTTGGTTCTGGTAACAGCGATACCCCTAACTTTTTATCGCTGAAATAGGATTCACTATGTTCGTGACTGTGATATGAGACACTTTAAGAAAACGGAAAATGAAAGAAATTCCGGATATCATGAAAGCTTTGAAAATTACGTTTCGTTTTTTAGAAGAGAACTAATGGATATCACTGGAAACATCAATCACATTGTCATGCACAGAGGAAGAGATTTGGCAACGGATATTACGAGAAGACTTTTGAGAGAAGCACAGGATAAGTGTAGGACTACAACCACAACAACAACCACTACTACCACAACCACTACTACCACAACCACTACAACAAATCCAATCACAGGTTAGAATTTTTTTCTGTTTCAAGGTTATTCTGAAACAAATCTGAGTAGCTGGAAGTTGATTCCTTTTCTGTGGTGACGTAAAAAATTCGTTATCAAACATGGTTGCATTTTTTCTATCTCTCAGACAAAGGTGCAAAATTTATTTGTGTTTTAGGAAACCTATATTATGATGACATTTAAATTACTTTCATAACAAGTTAGTAACTTTTAACATACTGCTTTCAAAATCTACAGCTTATCGTAAATTAAGTTCTTCGATTTATTTAAATAGAATGTTTGAAATTTATGATAATTGTCTCAATTTAATGAAAAATAGGTCATTTTTATTGAAAATTAGTTATTTATATTTACAATGCTTTTCAAACCTTAAAATATAATAACAATTTTTCATATGCTAACCACCCACTCGAACCCAACTACAAGTTACATTTTTTACGGTTTCCAAATTATTCTGAAAATTATTGGAAGATGTGAAAGTTATTATGTTTTCTTCATCGACTGTTAGTAACTTTTAAGTCAAAATATTGAAATAGATTGATTAGAAAAGTCTATCGCAAATTAAGTTTTCAGATTTTTTGAAACAGTCATTTTTGGGTATTCCTTCATTCAATGAATATGAGAGTGCAAAATGTGTTTCTGTTTCAGGAAAATTTTAAGTATGGATTTCTAGAACTCATTGTAATCTACAAAGGCAATTGTGATGATATTTATGCTGCCTTTCATTTGGAGTTGGTAACTTTTAGAATACTGATTGATCTGAAATTTAGTTCTCGGATTTTTTTGAAACCGATTTCAAATAGTTTATCGCGAATGAAGTCCTCGGTCTTTTTTTGGGACAATAGTTTTCGCTTTATGAAGATTGCCTCCAATTAATAAGATAAACAACTTTTAAGGCTGATTTTTTTCTGTTTCAGAACACTTTTAGCTATAAATTTCTAGAAGTTATTTTACTGGGTGCCAGACTGATAGTAAGTTAGCTAACTTCTAACAATTTCAATGAAAACTCCAAAATCGCAAATACAGATCTCTGTCACTTTAGATATTCTTCTGGAACAGTAATTTTGGGTTCATAATCATTGCCTCCATTTAATGAGAGAAATAAATAAATTGCAAAATTAATTTCTGTTTCAGGAAACATTAAGCTACAAATTTCTAGAACTTATTATAACCGGCGGAGGCTGTTATGGTGAGATTTAAACTTTCTTTCAAGACATAAACATGTCGAAAGTCCCCAGCCCGATTTTTGAAATATTACCTTGAGCTACAAAGTTCTAGAACTCATTGAATGTGCACAGTGCAGAATACTACAAGAAACCGTTTATTTCTAAGTTAGTTAATTTTATCAAAGCGAATTGCCGATCAAAAATTTAATTCCTTTCCTCTGTCGGTGTTTTCCAGGAACAGTAAAATTATTTCTGTTTCTGTGAACTTTTAGATAAAAAATTCTGGAATCAATAGCAATCGACATACCGCTGTCAGGTGAGATAACAATTTCCATTCAGGAGTGAATTTCCAAAATTTAGAAATCGAGCCACCTAAAACCTCTGTTATTCTGCACAAGCGCTGATCATGAGTACATTAGTACAGCAGTTTGGGCCAAGTTAAGTTATTTATGATTGTCTCGAAGCAAGTACTCGTTTTCTTAAAAACGTTAATATTTCAATCGTGTGGGTTTAAAATGACTCTGAATTCTAAAATAGCATTCAAACAAATATCTATGTCTATGATAATTTCTACGGTTTCAACAAAAATATATTTGAAGTTGCTACATTTTATAGGTGATAGATGCTTTTTTCTCGTTTCAATGGTCTTTTAGCTAAAAACGTTTGAAAATGGATACAATGTGCACAACGCTGTCAAATGAGACAGACTGATCCCGAATATTAATTCACTTTGATAGTTTTTTCGAATGTTCAGAATCGAGCCACATAAATGCTCTGTTATTCTGCGCAAGAGCTACTCACGTTTACAGTATTACAGTAGTTTTGTTCAAATCAAGATTTTTTGTTAGAATGGTCTTGAAGCAAACAGTTTTTCGTTTAAAAAAAGTTAATCTTTCAATCGTCCGATTTTAAAATGACTCTGAATTCCTGTGCTTATTATAGTTTGGAGTTCCAATTAAGATTTTGTTCAGCAACTGAAACAGTAAACGCTTGGCAGACTTCCACGTTAAGAAATAAGGCAATTATTGAAAATTGTTCATCTCGTACAGAAAAACATATACATCCTACTTTTGGTTCAGAAACTGTCGTAATTTTATTTTTCACAGAATTCGGAAAAATTTTTACTGCTTTAGCGAAAGTTTATTGAAGAATTGCTAACTTGTGTTGTAATTGACGTAATGCCGGATTATGAAACATGAAATGATGTTTTTATGTAAACTTGCGGAATCTTATTTCTGCTGCAGTAAACATCAAACATAATAGAAACGACCCGGTTTTCCAGTTTTTTTTGTATGATTATTCAATTATGCCTTCAATCTAGATTTATCTAGAGCTTCGATGTTCAAAGCGTAAACTAATAAAATATCGATCTCCTTCTCAGGTAATTTTCCGCAACTTGCCCATCAAAACGGCAGCATTGCCACCGCCACTCCGCAACGCTGCCGTTTTGAAAAGTATTATGCCGTTAGCGGCCCTTTTTCTGCTAACTGT